GCGCGGGGTTTCAGTACCAAATCACCTGAAGTGTACTGTATATGCGCGTAAGCATATCGTACAAAGTCTGCCTCCCGCCAAGGGACGAAGACAAACTTATCGCTGTCAATGTCCAAACCATAGGCCTACGTTTCTTCGTGACGGTTCTATGGTTGACGTTTATAGTGACAGTTTAGCTATAGTCAGATCATCCAAATAGCGATAACAGGACGTTGGGAGACGAAATATTTTCCGACACCGACAGATCTTGTTTTGGTTTCACGACCTGGACACGCGACGGTGTGACGTCGAAACGATATTGAGCGTCTGTAGCAATTTTGCCTGAAACTATCGATAAAATCTTTAAGTATCATCTTCTTTTAATATTGCCTTAATAACCCCCTTTTCTGCATAACCTCACAAAGTCACCAACATTTGTCAAATGTTGACAGCAGACGACGTAAACAAAACAGATTGTGGCAAAAAGCGCGTGGAAAAAGTCGTCCCGGTCAAAGTTCATCATCTCGACCAATCAAAATTTGTGTAGGTCATATACCACGTGTGGTATATAACTCATATTTATCTAACAGTCTGCGTGTTTATACAATGATCTGAGAGTGGAATAACACAGCGTATTGTGGAAGAAACATTGATAGTTGATTTATCCTGCACAATACACCTACATATATATATATATTTATAAACTACATTTTGAATACATTTTTTTTAGAAAAATATCACCTATTCGGCAACAGAAATACTCACGTTTTAGCATAGGTCGTTCTACTGGATTTTTCACAATATTTACACATGTGCCGAGTACAAAAATAGACCTCATGAAAAGCTAGCTTTTGTTGTGTAGACACAGATTTGCAAATGGCCAAAAATGTAGTCTCAAACCAAATTTGATTTTTTTTTTTTTTTTTTTTTTTTTTTTTAAATGTGAAGCCCACATAGCTTCATCATGTATATGGCAATTTTAGTGCTGATTTTTTTTAAAACACTTTGATACATGTAATATTACATTGTTATTCATTGTACAAAAATATCACCCATGGCCACCGTACGCTTCTGTACACTGCAACCTTAATAAGAATATATCCTATATTCCCTATGGTAGAAGAAGGATTTTAAAGGTATTAACTCTATTTCCCATGGGGGCCACACCCATTTCGTCAAAATCTACTTGGCCGTTCAGGACTAGTAGAGTTTTAAGGAAAAGTTGATGGATGGACGACGGACGCTGCAGTATGGCACAAGCTCACCATGGTCCTTCGACCAGGTGAGCTAAAAATGGGGCCCAGGTTGGCAAGTCGTTACGGCGTCTGACATTCTGCTACCACTAGCCCTCCACCACTGTGTCGAAGGTTCGAGGCCTACGTTGGGCAGTCACCAGGTACTGGTCGTTGGTCAGTGTTTTTCTCTGGGAACTCCGGCTTTCCTCTTCCACAAAAACCTGGCACGTCCTTAAATGACCAAAGCTGTTAATAGGACGTAAAACAAAAACAAACCAAACCAGAAGCACAAGGATGTTTTGGACCAAATTTGGTTAAAATTCTCCAATAAAACTAAAGAAGAAGGATTTTAAAGATTTTAAGCTGAAGTTCCCCTATTGGGCACCGCCACTCTGCCAAGGGGGACCACATCTTCGGTCCACACAAAATTGAGTCCCCTTTGCCAAAAGATGCTCTCGACTAAATTTGGTTAAAGTACCTCTAATGATACAATAAACAGATTTTTTCTTTTCTCAATTTCCCCTGTTTGACCCGGCCCCTTTGCCTCCAGGGGGCCACACCCTCAGTGTACACAAAATTGATCCCCCTTTGCCAAGAATGCTCCAGGCCAAATTAAGTTAAAATCCACTGAGCTGTTCAGGAGAAGAAGCGTTTCACAGGAAAAGTTGGTGATTGACGGACGACGGATGCCACACCAGGACATAAGCTAACTTGACCTTCGAGCTGAGAAGCTAAACAAGAGGCCCATGGGCCTTAACGGTCACCTGATATATTTATACAGAGAGTTGATTTTGTTTTTAACATGAACAGAAATATTATTCAAAGTGACAAAAAACAATAAAACCACCTTACTCAATATCTAGCATACAGATTTCAGACTAAAAAGGATTTGAAACTAGCACCTCTGATTCTTAACAAGGAAAATGAAGAAATTTTAGCACACTGACTCCTTTGAGCCCCACCCTACAGCCCTTGGGGGTAGGGCTGGCTCAAAATTTTCAAAGTATCAAACTGTCAATTCAAGGTTATAATTCCAATCAAGTTATTAACATGTAAT